GAGTGAAATAATTCAAGTTAATTTAACTTAAATCAGAGTCTTTTTTATTGTTGTGACAGCAATTTGTTCGCTCACAGCCTGATTTATCGACAAATTCTATCTATGAAAACACAGCGAATCAGTTTGATGACTTGTGTTGACATGACGATGTAGCAATATTGTTAGTTTTAATTCAACTTTTAGCATTAGCTGATTTAAAATTGAATCCTACCAAACATTGGAGTAACTTAATTTGTTTTAATTTGCCAACTTAAGGACTCAGAATGATGGTAATTTAGTATACAACACTTTAAATTAATTTTCATAACGTGGAAATACTCGTTGAAATTGTTTAATTATAAGAAGTGTTCAACTTTAGGACCTGTGTTTATGCTACCAGTCATTACATAATTACAATATATTGGGCAGAAAAGCAAAGTTTAAATATTGCACATGGCTTTCCTGTGTGTTTTTGGACACATAACACCTCATTTGCTTCATTAAACATGAACAATTAGAAAATTTACAATTCTAAAAAATAGTTCTCTGTTATAAATAATCAGCTGGGAAATTTCATGGTGATATCTGTTGGTGAGGTGTTCAAGATGCTTTGAAATATGTTTGTTAATCAAAGCTTATGAGGTCAGAGTTGCCTTTTCTTTAGTTTAAATGTCATGACCTTTATCACTTAGTGCAGTGAGTGATGCTGCAGCTCGGTGTGTGTTCCTGTTAATCACACTTTGGCCTCCTTCTGTCAGGATCTGCCCGGTGATAAAAATATGCTCACATTATTAATATCTGGAGATCACACAAGCTGTTTACAAACACACTGTTTATGAGGGAGACGTCAGCGCACTGGAACCCCATCCGGAGCCTTTTTTATTGGCTGAAACACACACTGAAACACACACACACACACACACTGAAACACACATTACACACACTCCCTCTACAGTGCGCACCGCCCCTTTTTGCGCAGTTCCCGTTAAAAGGCGGCGCTGCTCGGCCTGCAGCGTCAGTTCACGAAGCGCAGAGCTGCACGGTGGGACACACTGGAACTTTACACTGAGGGACTCTAATATCCACACAAATATACAAAACGCACATTTTTGTGGACAGAACTGGATAATCTGTAGCTTCAGTGGTAAAAACATGAAGTCTCCAAAACTGAAACCTCAAGGTAAGTACGATCATTTCCTTTTCCATCCTGTTTTTATTACTTTTAGAATTTAAATTTGCAATGAGAGAAATCGCAGAAATACTACAATATCATTCTAACAGCTATTTAAATAGTCAAATTGTAAATATTCTGCCATAATATCAGGCTGTATTATCATCATTTGCTTTTCTATATCATGGTTCCTGCGTAAATTCTTTGCGTAAAACCTCAATTACGCGCGTAAATGTTCATATTTTTGTGCTTTTTCTTGCAGCAAAGTTCATCAACGAGGAAGACCTGAACGACGTGCTGTGCGAGTTCGACGCAGTGATCGAGGACTTCACGTCGCCGGTGGAGAAGCGACACTTCAGGTACGACGAGCACCTGAAGACGGTGAAGAGGAGGAGCAGCGCCAGCGTGAGCGACAGCGGCATCAGCGACTCAGAGAGTGAGTCTGGATGAGATATCTGCTCCCCTGGTTTGATTCTAGTCTCCGAACCTGACATTTAAAGTCGCTTCTTGGGTCATTTAATGACAGAAAAAGCACTTTTCAATAGAATTGGACTCCGGTGTGCAGTTTAGTTTAAAATTAGATGAATTTGGTCATCTTAGAACAGACAAAGTGACAGAGTGACAAAATAGTGACTCCTAAGGCTCCAGATTGGAGATCAGGCACTGTGAAGACACAAAAAAAAAATGGGTTTGATGTCTGTATTTGACTGTTTAAAGCTAAAGATATGCAAAGAAAATGAGTCTGTATGTTTCAAACCTTATGTCTGGAGAATATGTTTTATATCTTGGGGCACTTTGTACATTTTGCGTGACACTAAATGTTATTTGCAAAGTTTAAAAAATACATTTTAAAAAAATCTAATTTTCTGCTTTAGACCAACATTTATGTGAGGACAGGATAATGTTGCATCAACTTAATATTGTGTCTAATTTCAACTCAAATTTCTGCATCCGTTGTTTTAAAACCAAATTCAAGTTGATGTAACTTTATCAAATTGGCGCGATAACAACATTTTAATAATTTAAGTAGATCTAACTTAAATCAGTGGCTTTAATAAGACTTCTTAATGCAGTTGGGACAAACTTGATTCAAGAGAGATTTGTTCACTCAAAGCCTGATTTATAGAACATTTTACTCATAAAACATTGATTCTGATGAGCTGCGTTGATACAGTGATGTGGCATCAACCTAATATTAAGTGTAATTTCAACTCAACTTATCTGAAACTGAATTCAAGTTGAGGTAACTTAATAAAATTGGCTTGATAACTACAGTTTGAAATTCATTCCCCGGCCCTACTTTACACTGGAGTGATGTTTTTATTCATTTATTTTAATTTCCCAACTTAAACATGTCATAATTATGGTAATTAGGACATGTTACACTTGATCCTAGTTGGGACAATTTAATTCTTACACCTTTGTTTATGCTACTCATCACTGTGTAATTAAAAACACCTTTGACTGGAGAGGAAACACTCATTCCACCAACTTAATAAGGTTCGTTGGTTGAACATAATTTCACTAGAAGTTGTCTTAACTCAAGAAGACTAATGTAAAGTGTTGCATTAATGTTTCTTGGTGAGCCCAAATTTAGTGTAGCAGCTCAATGCTTCCTCTACAAAGGTATTTTTGGCACATTTTATCAAAAAAATTGCAGCTTCTGTGATTTGGATATTGCACATGGACATATGTAGATAATTTGTCAGTGTTTTGTTTGTGCTGCTACAACAAAATCTGCTTCATAGATGTTGCTCCTCCTTCGCTGCACTGCAATATCTGATAATGTACGACACAGAAGGTGGTAAGCTGTTGCATATATGTGCAAGTCCAAACAGAGGAAGTGATAAAGAGAGAAAAGGAAAAACTCAACTCGCATCACAAGATGTTTACATCAGATTGGGCTGCATATCTTGGCACACCTGCCCCTGTATTGTGGCTGCGTCTTTAAAAGTTTTACTGTCATACATTACTATATTACTCTACCATACAGCCTGTTAAAAGCTGCCTCCCCAGCTGCAGAGTGGCCCCAGGCAGGCTGTAACCCAAATGGGAAAGCCTCACATGCTGACACACAGAGAAAAATATGCTCCAGGTCCCCATGTGCAAAGATAGTTTCCCAAACACATGTGAGTGGGCTGAGGCTTGAGCAGGAGGCGTGAAAGGAGCTTCATGGTCTCTGGGTTTCTGGAAAGTTAGTCTGTGGAAGCGTTTAGGACCAGAGAGAGGATGTCCGGACTATCACATGCGTCACATGATACTCCAGAAAGCAAAAAACTGTTAGAAAAAAAATAAAAAAAATTAATATTCTGGCAGCTGGTTGTCAAAAAAATTAACTGAAAACATTGTAAACATTTTTAACTGTAATATTTTTAAGCAATTTTAAATTATTTAAAAAAAATTCCCTCTTTTGTTAAATTATGGATAATACATATTAAAATAACAGAAAAAAAGTATTAATTTAAATGTTAACTGAAAAACATCAAAACAAAACATGGCCAAAACTGTAAATCATGTCCATGTAGTAAAGAATCTGTCTTTTAACAGATGATAATTTCACCTTTTTCCAATATTGAACTGTACATTTACACCATTTTGCTGCATTCAAATCAACCAATGATATCATTATTTCTCAGATATTAGATAATATTTGAAAAACGGAAAATATTCATCATAAGAATTAAAAAATTGTGAAATAAACAGTCGTTTGATAGATTTTCAATATTTTGTTAAATTCATAGATTGTCACTCAAATAATCAAAGGTGCCAGCTTATTTTTAACTTTTTTTAAAAACACTTTTAAAATTTTACAGTATTCCACCATTTACTTGAACATATTTTTTCTGGCACTTTTGCATTAATGTCACATATGATAATGTGTATTATTTTTTACTTTTTAATGTTTAATTAAGATATTTACATGTGTGAAAACAAGTAAATTACTTTTAATATATAATTACATATCTGTGTTTTGACAGACTATTGATGCTTTAAGCCAATGAAAAACAAATTAATGTACAATTACAGAACAAATACTTATTTTTCTGTTTATGGTCAAACTGTGTCAAATTTTCGAAATAAATTTACAGGAATAAAATTTATTTTAACAGTAGGAAATACCTGCGAAATTCCAATAAATTAATTTTAATAAGATAAATGTATTTTAACTTTTTCTTTTAATTAATATTTTATAGTTATTCACAGATACGGGGTTTAATGTCATTTTATTTATTTTTTTAGAAATAAAGAGAAAGTTTATTATTGCATTGTTAATGTTTCAACTCCAGTGAGGTGATCAAGCTTTTGATATGCATATGATAATAACCTAATTTCATGCATTTTTTTATTCTCTCTCTCTCTCATTGCAGTTAGATAATTGCATGATAACTGGGGTTTTAGTGGTTTGGTGAAAGCCCACAGTGTTTACCAGTCGAGCTATTACACAACATCAGCAACACAAACACAGGGAAGGTGTTCAAACGTGCACTAATGGGCTGTTGATGTGCTCACGGGATCAGATTCCTGCCTTAGCGCTGCTGCTCTCCATGGCAGTGACCGGGGATCTATTGTCCCGCAGCCTGATGGATGGACGGACCACTTAGGGAGCAGATAAATGACTAAAACAGAGTCTTGGAGCTGCACCCTGCAGTGGTGGTGAAGGAGGGAGGGAGGATAGAAAGGAAACGAAGCTGAGAAATGAGAGTTTCATGTTCAAGTCAAACTCTGATGCTGCTGCTCCTGTTGAGAGGCGTCTCCTGCCTCCTGCTGTGTTTTCTGGCCTGAGAGCTGCAGGTCAGAGAGGAGGATAAGTAGGTGTTCCACATCTGACACACTGTTACACTGGACTGAAGTTCTGCAGAGAGATAGGCAGCTTTAAATGCAGCCTACACTGTAAAAAAATAAATAAATTAACAGTTTTTTTTTGTTTTTTTTTTAAACAAATTACTGTTATTTTACTTTTTTCACCATTTCTGGTGAATTTACAGATGATCACAAGTAAAATCCCAGATAAGAAGAATTATTTATATTGTTAACATTTTTTAAAAAAGCTGTAAATAACATCCACATGCAAAATCAGTATTTTTATAAATAGTAATTTGTTTTTGTTCAGCCATAAAAGTGACACCATTTGTGTGGTAAATCAGCAACAAATATTGTTATTATATAGCTGTTTGCTATTTGGTTAAGTTTCAGATATTACTTAGTAAAATCCCAACAAGAAAAGTATTCAATGACACATTAACCTTAAAAAATAATATTAATTTACATGGTAGTCCAACAAAAATAAATACAAATCAGACCAGAAGTGTAGATAACATAAGTGTTATATTGATGAAAATATTTTCTTTATTTACATTAGATGAACCATAAATTAATTTTACTACAGTACAAAGTGCATGTAATGAGCTGACAACACATTTCCAGTTATTTTCAGATTTTTTTTTTATTTTGCAGTTTTTATACTGTATATTTACCATCACAGTGCAGAACTGTAACTGTGGAACTGTCAAGAAAACAGGTCAAAACAGTCAGAATCTGTATTTTAGAAATGATAATTCCTTCTTTTACAGGATTTGACCATAAAACTACACAGTTTTAGCAAAAAAAAAAAAAAGCTACGTGAAATTTTGAAAGAAGAATTTTACCAGATTTTTTATTTTTTTTTACAGTGTGATCACACCCTTGCTTTTATAGTCACACAGATTCTTCTATGAGAGCTGATAAAGACTAGCAGACCTTATCCTGTAGTACAAGAATCTCTCTGCTCTCTTCTTTTCTTACCAGACACAATAACATACGGTGAAAATATGTTGTGGTGGCTTGAAATACGGTCTGGCAGAACCAAGGTGGCCATTATATCATTTATGTGGCGCTCTGTGTGCAGATTTGGGTGGTACAGAGGAGACAGAAGCAGCATCCCAAGCAAGAGCGAACTCTGCTATTTGTCTCCAAACCTGTGGAAGATAAATCTTGCTTAAGAGCAGGGCAAGAGTTGGCTGATTTCAGAGACGTTATAGCTGTCACTGACTGCCACAACTGAGATGTAGTCCCTGAGTTATGGTGACATGCTCTCAAGTCATCCAGCGAAGCAGAACTTTTGCTGCTGGAAATACACCAGAGACCTGAACACTTGTTTGTGTGTGAAAACACCTGCACACGTATGCGCTTCATGTGTGCAACGGTCCAAAGAGGAAGGTTGTCATTAGAGGCGGTGATCAGAGACCGACGCTGCTCCACTGACACAGAAACACCGAAAAGTGAACTCAATCCAGCTGGTCTGTGTTTTGTCTTTGGGTCTGACAGGTGCCGAGTCGCTCAACAGAAACAGCTTCAGCTTCAGCGACGAGAGACTGAACTCCCCCACCGTGCTCTCCCCCACCACCTCCTCACCTCCTCTTATGTCACCCAAACGTGAGTCAAGCACACAGTATCGCTTCACATGGTGAGAACAACAGCAAAGCCTCAGGTTAGAGCACAGACTGGATGTAGAAGATCAACGTAGCTCGCAGGTCTGAAATGAACATCAGTCTAAATGTCAGTTCATGCTTTCTGTGTCCACAAGGGTACATTTGGTGTAGATTTTGTCATTTGGCAGAACCAACATTTGTGAGTTTTGAGTCAGTACGAGGAGATTCTCCATCATCCAGCTTTCTGGTTCATCCTTCACACAGCTGGAACTGATGTAGTCACTGTCAGACTGTGGAGGTGCTTTGATTTGTACGTGAAGCCCAAACACAGTGGACAGTTGTAAAATCTCCAGAGATCCTGTGCTATGTCAACCCACTGTGCTCAACTTCTGTTTAAAAGCTTGTTCTAAAGAGAGACTGTACGACAAGACTCTCCATCATCCACAGCTTCCTAGTTCATCCTTAACACAGCTGTGACTGAGGGAGTCTCTGCCAGACATGAGATGTGCTTTGATTTGTACATGATTGACAATCTAAAGTCACCAGATATCCTGTGTTCCATTCACCCACTGTGCTCAACCCTGTAGTCAAGAACAGATGGGTGACATCACAGTGATGAACAGTCTGTAGGTCTGACCTGTTGATATGTTCTGGTGTCTTTAATATGGACTCAGTCAAACCTATAAGTCATGTAGTTAAAGACACAACATCCGTTCTATTTGCTGTGTCGTAACATGTGCTTGAAGATGCTCACGATAGAGCTTTCTTTGTCTCCCCTGCAGCCAAACTGGGCGACACCAAAGAACTGGAAGACTTCATCGCCGACCTTGACAAGACATTAGAGAGTAAGTGCTAAAGCAACCTGGCTGTCACTGATGTGTGATGAATTAGCTTCCTGCTGGCGCCACCCGCCACTCGGGATTAACAGGAGCGTTTGTTCGCTCTGTCAGCTACGCTAACGACCGCTCATAAAGCGACGCAGCAGTTCCTCCCCTCAGGTTTCTGAGAAACAGTGATGTGTCAGGCTTACCGAGTGGCCGAGGCATGTCACGAGGACCTGGAGGCCTCCGGGGCTACGCCCAGGAGAAAGGCAGCGTATCGCTTTTCAGCCGTCACTCAGCTTTCACGAAAGTGCTGCTACAAACACCATGCAGTCTGCACGCACCTCACAGCACCGGTTTCCTGTTTCATCCCATCCATTTCTGTCCTCATCCCTTTTGTCATGTGTATGTAGGTGCACTGTAAAAATGAAAAAAAAATCTGTTAACAAATTGATAAAAAAATACTGGAACACTGTAACATTTAAAAGCTGTAAAAAACATGAAAGTATGGGCAAATAAGTGTCAACAAAATGACATTTTAGTGAATGTAAATACAGTAAAACTGTAAAAAACAAATGACTATTTGTACAAAATACTGATCTTTGACAGACATTTTGCATAATTTTGTCCAGTTCTCTTATTTTTACAGTCAACAAGGACATTGAGTCCTTTTTATTATCATCTCTAATCATACAAAACAGGGAAAAGCTGGAGAATAAATAGTTGAGAAAATGTATTACCCTTTCTCAATACTTGATACATATATTTTTCCTGTAAAATTACAGCAAATATCTGTTAAATAACAATATTTCTTGACAATTTAAATGTAACATGAGTTTAATTTTCTGGTCGAAAATTGTGGAAAAACAAAAAAAACCTTCCATAGAAAAAGTTTTAATGTGGACATTATTGACATTGTTCACAGTTAATATTTATAATACTTTTTTTTTTTTTTACTAGATATTATCTACAGTTGAACAAAACAGGAAAAATCTGTAAAATCACAGTTGAAATAAATATTTACCTTTTTCCATAATATTCATAATTTTTCTTGCAAATAATGGCAAATTTATTTAATATTTATTATTATTTTTAACTACATACATCTCTAAAATATATTTAAAATAACAATAAACATGGTAAAAGATGTAGTTATTGGTTTTTGTAAAAAGAAAATGTTATTTTGTTTTGTCCGTTTTTTAACAGTCAACAGGTAAATTAATGCTTTTTTCCTGTGCTTTTACTAGATTTTATCTCTAATTTAAGAAAGCTGTAAAATAACAGAAAATTGTTCATAGAACTACAGTACAAACAAAAAATAAAACAAATAAATAAAAAATAAAATATCTGTACCTCCTGATGTTTCTGTCTTAGTTTAGGATAAAAAGTGCTGTTCTTTAAAGCTCATAAAGCACATGAAGGCATTTAGGGGCCACATCAGTAGAATGTCACCTGATCTAAGATCTGTTAAGCAGCTCACAGAGCATCACGGTTAATAACACGTCTGATTTGTGTTGCTGCTTCTTTTGCTCACTCGGGGCCTGTGAGTGTTGGAACTTGCATCAGAGCAGCAGGAATGCTCGCTGGGCTGAAATTCCAACTGTAAATGTCAGGAATGGAATGAGACAGAAGTGGGAGTTAGAACCTTCATTCCACCTTCACCGTGCTGCTCTGAGCTCTGTTCCTGGCCTCTGAACGTCCGTCTGTGGAGCCCTCAGCTCCTCCTGAAAAGTTCGTTTGCTGGTGTTTACGAGTAAAACCTGAGAATCGAGTCAGTTCTGATCATGTCTGTCCGTCTGTCTGTCCTCAGGCATGTGACACAGAAGCTGGCAGACATCTTGGAGCGAAGCCATGAGGGAGGAAGGGATGTCTGGAAGCCCCCCGAGCAGCTAACATGCCCCCCAAACTCTGAACCACCCCCTCACCAACAGGATGCAGCTGGATGGCAGAAGCAACTGCCAAAGTAGCTCCACGGCGGCATCAGAGCTCTGCTCACTCCAGACCACACGGCTCCTGGGCTGTACGGGCCGCAGGAAGGGTCAAAATTAGCTTTTTTCGTAGGATGGAAACACTCATGAGGTAATGGACTCCATGAAAACGCTGCAAGGTGGTGGAATATCACTGGAACATTCATCATCCCAGACCAGCTCACTCCCTCATCTGAACCTGGAGCTGCAAGAGTATTTAAAAGAAAAAGGCTTTTTATAATAGAAATATATTTGTAATTTTATAGAGCTTCTTATTGTAAATTTATCACTCCTGTTTTGTTTTTTTGGTGAAATATATTTTTGTATCATATGTAAATAATAATTGTTTCAAATTTTATTTGCCTCGGTATGGACTGGACAGTCAGATTAAGATTTGACACGACTGGAATAAAGTTGATCAAATGTGAACTTAATCCGCTCTGAGAAAACTGGAACGCAAAATGTGTATTTAATACAACTAATGCCTGCCAGAGATAATATTAAAGTATAAATGTTGTTCTTTTAGTAACATGTCCCTCCTCTCTTTATTTCCTGTGTCTCTGTGAAAGTGAATTGAAGCCTCTGAACTCCAAGCTGTTTGTGGGTGTTTTCTGTTACTTTTTCTCGCTGTGGACTCATTTTTCACAGCAACATAAAGTCCTGTACCCCCTATGGAAACAGCACCACCATGACTAGAAGGAGAGAGGACTCAGAAATGTCCTCTGTGTAGCATAACATAGTTAGAATCAAATCAAACCAGGTTCATTGTCATGTTGCTGTACATACACAGTAGTACAGGCAAGATGAGAGAGCGTTTCTTCGGGATTATTTAATTAGAACATTTACGGAATGAACGTCTGGGATAAGACACTAAACGTTCACTGCAGCTGTCTCATGAAGGGGCTGCTGTGTCCATGGGCGCTGCAATTCGTTGAACATGGTGAACCTCTTCAGGTCCTGGTAGGTCTTCATGGACACAAAGACACACACGATGGTGTGACGATGGTGAAGCTGCAGATGCTGCCCAGAGCTAGCTGTCTGTCTGTCCGCCTGGAACGATGTCGTCCCCTCCAGCTGTATGTCCGTCTGGGATGTTGTCATGGAGCCATGTTTCTTTAAAAGCAGACACACAGCAGTCTCTCCACTCTCCACAGGTTTCTCCCAGCAAACGTAGCTCATCCAGCTTGTTGTGGAGGGAGCGGACACTGGAGAGTAGGAGGATAGTCCTGCTGGTCTGGAGGGGTTAGCCTTTAGTCTAGCATGGATCCTGGTTCTCTTCTCCCTCCTTTTGTTTGCGTTCGCACTGCGCTTCCCTCTCTCTCGGGTAACTGCCGGCGTAGTCTCCGATCAGACTCCGCGTTGGCCCAGTATGTCCAAATCACAACCTATTGCTGCAGCGCCGTTCACTGTCCTGACGCTCAGCAAAGTCTCTCGGCCGCAAGTTTTGCAGAATGAACGTCTGGTATAGACAAGACTCTCAAAACGTTCACTTCATTGCCTCCTGAAGAGGCCACTGCACATCACCATGGCAACCAGAATGCCGTAAGTCATTAAAAAAAAAAAAAAAGATAATATATTTTGCATAATTAAAAACCTACCTGAAATCAACATGAACAACACCTTTTTAAATGCCCACAAGGGTTCCCAGCGCTGAGGCGTGAACATGGCTCTACATGTTAAAGATATCGTACTATTAATATGTGTGATTTGTCTCCTCTCTGCTCTGTGGAAACACAGCCTGCAGTTCAGTCCCAAAGTCCTTGATTTTTTTTGACACATGACTGTAAGTTGCAGCTGAGTCAGTCATGACTTTTGGGTTGTGCAGTGAAAAGGACAATTTTTAGTTTTTTTACAGAATCCCATCAGGGTAAATGGTTTATTTTTGGAGAATTTTCAATCAGACACAAGCTTCGATTTAATATTTCATCAGGTGAGTTGTTCAAAAACCGTGAGAAAGTTGAAAATCCAACAACTGACTCTGTGTTAGCAGTTTCCAGTTCTTTTAAATGGTTTTACTTTCATACGTTTTTAAAAGGTTTTGGGGTTCAGAGGGTTCACCTCGTCATGAACTGTCAGGTATGGCTGTCAGTTGTGCAGCAAGGTGCAGAATTTTTTGTTTTTTACATAAACTCATTTGGGTAGATAGGTTTGCAGATTTTCTAGTGACACGTGTAGAATAAAGTCATTTTGCTAAAATAGTACAATTTTACTGTTTTTTTTTTGTTTTTTTTTACAGTTTCAGGCTGATTAATTCTGTGATTTGGATGATTTTTTCTTTTTTCTTTTCTTTTCTTTCCGAGGGTTGATGTTTAGCTTCTATTCTCTGTGATTCTTTTGCTTTCTCTCCCTCTTGCGCCTCCTCATCCTGTTTATTTAATGCACATCCTGCAGCACACAGAGTAGAACAACTGTGCAACACTCCACAACACTTTGGAAGGTTCAAATCAAATCACACAAGCAGGTGTTGATTTCCTGCAGAGGTCACTGAGTTCATCTGAATAAACCCTCTAAGTCTAAACCCAAAGAGAATCCACATTAACTGATACCAGAGAGAAAGACTGACTGAACATATCCCTCCTGCAGGAAGACGGAGGAAGACGGAGGACATCCACCGCCTTCCAAGAACTCCAACAACACAGACGCTCCAAAATAGAAATTACAACTCTCTTACCTTCTGTGCTCATTAATCAACCGCTCAACAAAGCAGGACTTATGTAACTTCTTTAGCTACAGGGTCTATTTCCGGAGGCGGAGGGAGACAGCAGGGTGTGACCCCTCCTCAGCCGGCAGCAGCTGTGCTTCAAGTATTCTGATGTGGAGGCTCCCGTCCGTCTGCAGGTCAGAGGTCTTTCCCGTTAGGGAGACCTGCTTCCATATTGGTTCCTCAGTGGCAGAGCAGCAGGTGCAGACAGATATGCTGCAGCCTACGTTTCCCACAATGCACCTAAAAAATACAAACCTTTAAATCTATGCTGCTAATCTGGAACTCAGGCTTTCTGTTTTAAATTCTTAGCTTTGTTTGAACACAACATACTTCACACACTGTACACAAACTGTAATATTCCAACAGCTAAAAAAGAAGGAATATAATGAGAAATAACTGTCTTATAAAAATACAGTAATTTTTCATAATTAAAATTAAATTAAAGGCTAGAAAATGCATTGTAATTGCATTTCTTTTCTTTTCTAATAATGGCAAAACATCTATAAAATGATAATATTTTTGGCTGATTTTATTACAGTAAAACTTTCTAAGTTTACAGTCAAGCATAAAAGAAATTTTGCCATGTTTAGAGTTAATTCAGAAATTATTGTGTGTGTCTGTGATTACAATAGTTGTCATCTGTAACTGAACAAAACAGCACAGATCTGTAAAATAACAGTAAAAAACTATATTTTCCCTTTTTTTTCAACGACTGATATGCATAAATTTTTAATTAAAATTACTTTTTTGGTGATTTTAATAGAGTTAAAAAATATATTTCTTTTTTAAATACAGATTTTTGATGACTTTTTTTTAGAGTTTGGCCTGTTTTTATAGGTTTAATGTGTAATTAATTAAATAATACTTTTTTCTTTGATTTTACAAGTTGTTATGTGTAAAAACAGGGGAAATACTAAAATAACAGAAAAAAATAGAGTTAAAAATTTTCAGTTGTTCACATAATTTTGTCAATTCATGCATGTTTTCTGTGATTTTGCTAAATATTAACAGCAAGTATCTGTATAATAAGAATATTTACAGTACAAATTGTGTAAATTTTATGGTGGAAAGATGTCAAAGAAAAAATTTGTAAAAAATAAAGAGTTTTGGTGTGAATGATATTTACAACTTTGGCCTGTTTTTACTTTCTTTTTTTTTTAAGTTAACATGTAAATAATAATTACAAATTTGCTAGATGCAATCTGTAATTTAACAAAATAGGGAAAATATGTAAAGTAAGCATAAATCATTCAACAAATGACAGTTAAAAACGTGTCATTAGTACACAGCAGTTTGAAGTGGAGATGCTCAGCTGTGGCATGAAAGCCCCACATGGACACATGAACAGATTCTATTTAACATCAAAAGAGCCTCAAAGTTTTGCTCTCATATGTAAGAAGGCCGTCTATCTATTTCTTTCTTTTTCATGCATCAGTTGCTGTTTGCTTCTGATTTCAGCTGCAGCCTTTGATTTGATGTCACATTCAGCCTGGTGTTTTGAAGTGTTGCAGTAAAGTCTCAGGCCTCACAGCTGTGCACGGCCGCTGCAGACCTGCTATCGCTGCACGCCAGTCTGCATTACCGTGATGGCAGGAAGCTGGCAGGGAGACACCGTGTCAGGCTTGTTTCTTCTGTACAGTTGGCAGAGTGGAGCTGTGGTCCGATCACACGGGGAGTCCACCGATCTGCTGTGTGTCTGCAGGCAGCTGGCACCGATCTCAGAGTCCATGTTGACACAACACATGATTAAAACAACCTCCCCTCCTGGCAGCGGCAGCATCTTTCTGGCCACATGGGTTCAGTCCCACAGGAGTGTTGGCCTTGGCAGTGGACAGCAGCGCTGGAAGTGTGGGAAAGCAGAGCAGCGAGACACCGAGCACTGCTCTACACGCTGCATAAAACCACTGGTGTTTACCCAACAGTTTACTGGTGTTTCACAGATTTTCCTTGTTTTGTTATAATACAGATCAAATTCTGTGAAATCTCAGAAAACAACTATTGACTTAAACATAAAAGAAAGAATGGTCAAAACTGTAAATAGTGTGTAATGCTTTTACAAATACTCATTTGTTCTTTGATCATGTGTGACTATAGAATTATGCAGTTAATACTGTATTTAAATCCACAAGAACATCATTATTTTAATCAAATTTGATGGTATAATGGTAAAATTGCTGTTATTTTGCATCTTTACCTTTTTTGAAAAACTACAGATAATAACTAGTAAAAGTATTTATTCACATGCTGACTGTAAAAAAATAAATAAATGTAAATAGCCTCCACTTTAAATAACATCTTCCTCCAAAATCTGTATTTTAACAAATGCTAATTTTTTTCTATTACAATTTGTAACTGTAGAATTACACAGTTGTATTGTATATAAATCCACTCAAAATATCCTTGTTTTACACATATTAGCAATTATAC